GGGGTGAAGGAAGAACAGATTTGTTTAGTTTAAAAAAAATAAGTTTTACTAAGATTAATGTAAGGATTCATACTTGGTCTGAAGGGTCAGATGGTCACACATCAAGAACAGCAAGGACTATTGGCAGAAACCCAGGGAAAGAGTGGAAGTCTCACAAACAATGGGTTTTACTTACAGCACACCATGATTCACTGTGGTTTATGTTTGCCCAGTTAGGTAGACTTAGGAATTATTCAGTTTTAATTGAACTGACCCTCACAACATCGGGAAGCAGCTTTTTAAAAAAGTCCTGCAAAGAATTTAATAATGCAAGCACAGCCAACAAGAAAATGACAAGGCTGGCTCCTAAGTAGTTGAAGCTATTCCTCTTCTATACTACGATGTCATATAATCTAGTAGGTCAATCACGTAGCTCTCATTAAAAATTATTATTTTAATGAGAACAAAAGGCACCGTTAACGGAAATTATTTTTTTCTAATTTTCCTTAAATATCTAACTTGCATTATTATTACATACACTAATACACTATTATTATATTGGCACATGTATATAACTTGTAAACAATTAAGGGGCATGCACAGGTTTTACTAATTAGGGGATACACTCAGAATATCCACTAATTGTGTTTTTTTTTTTCCTCTTGAAGGTAATGCAGCTTTCCCAGTTTGCCCATGACTGAGGAAGTATGGTATAGGGTATAGGCTGAATAATGCGCCCCCCCTCAAAGATGTCTGCATCCTAATCCCTAAATATGTTACCTTACATAGTAAAAGAGACTTCGCAGATGTGATTAAATTAAGGATTATGAGATAGGGAGATTATCCTGGAATGTCTGGGTGGACCCAATGTAATCACAATAGTCCTTATAAGAGGCAGTGGCAGGAGGACCACTCATTAGTAGACATAAGGAATGAAAAAAAAGGTTGGAGTGCTGATGTGAGGAAGGGGCCACAGAATACGGGTGGCCTCTAGAGAAATATTCTCCCCTCAGAGCTTCCAAAATGAACCAGCCCAGTTGACATCTTAATTTTATTTAGCCCTGTGAGACATACCTTGGACTTCTCACCCACAGAATTGTAAGGTAATAAATGTTAGTTGTTTTAAGCCACTAAATTTGTGTCAATTTGTTACAGCAGGCATAGGACACTAATGCAGGGAATTCCTAGGTTATGCGACTTCCAGTGTTAAAACCAAGACAAGCTGGTGACCCTCTATCTTAGATTTTCGGTGCTCATAAAAACATCTGGCACAGTAAGTATGAGAAAAAAATGTGGTTGAATAATGTTATGATGAAATATTTACATAATACACTGTTACTGTTACAAAGATCTCTCATTTGTATTATTTCATCGTTCTAACAACCCTGTGAAGTATGAGTGGATCAATTTCCCCATTCTGAGAATATAACAACTAAGGTTCAAAGAAGTTACATAACATGTCAAAGAACACACATCTAGTAAATGATGGAGCCACATATATAAAATACAGGCCTTCTGACCTACAAAGGACTATGGTACTCAGGAGCCTGTGCTGCCTAAGTTCAAATTTAAGCTCCAAAGCTTAACAGCTGCTTAACCTTAGCCAAGTTACTTAACCTCTATACTTCCTCACATGTAAAATGCAAAAGGAAGTTAATAATAATACCTATCTTACAGGGCTCTTATAAAGATTAAAGGTGCTATTGTCAAGTAAACATCATGTGCCTGACATATAGACAGCTGTCAGTAAATATTAGCTATCATTGCTCTGTGCTGCAGCTATAGCGCATTTATGCCTAAAATATTCTACTTGATCAAAAATCATAAAGTATGCAACAGGAAAAAACAGCAAAAAAAAAAAAAAATGAGTAATGACATAGAATAGATGAAATAGTTTTTCTGTGAACATAATCTAAGGTTAGTACTCTAGGCTGGAAGATAAAAGCAGAGGGGAGACATAATCAAGATCTATGAAATTATAGTAAACTTACCAGTAATATTGGTAGCATGAGAGGGGAAACCTTAGAAACTAGAATACTGTAGAACAGATATACAGCACTCAAAATCTTCAAAACAAATTGATCACAAAATTTTGAGACAATTTGTGAATAACAAAAGAGACAAAAGTGGCTACTAAAAGGCACTCATCAACTCTTGCAAACGTTTTATCTAACCCTAGGACTTGCTGGTAGCCCTTTCTGTTAAAGGGAATGGGGTTGTTGGGAAAAGAAATACCACACCAGATTGCAGCAAAAGTTAGAAATCCATTAAGTGCCATTAATTTCAACTTGGCAAGAAAGCAGAGTCTTCAAAGAAAAAACGCACCCTTTGCCAATCATCACCACGTACCACTCCTCTTCCCCAATTTCATTCATCATCACCCTTCAAAAAAAAAACCTTTAAGCCTTAATGTCCTATTTTAGTGCCTTTTAATCGTTTTGCTAAAGAATAATTAAAATGTCTCTAAATTTGGTGGTCTAAACAAATCTCAAAATAAACTAACCCAATAGTTTCCTAAGCTAAAGTTTCTTAAAATGTTCACACTCTTTTCTTAAACTCTCCACATCCATTTTCCTCACTAGGAGTTAAAAAACTTTACAAAGTTTATTACTACTTTCAATACCGGGCCAACCTATTTTTTCCCTAACAGGGAAATTCATTAGCTCTTCACTAGAGCTAATGATTGAAGGTGAGAAAACATATTGAGGGTTAGCTTAATCAAAAGATAGCCAGAAATTCCCAAAAGAAATAGAAGCAGAGTTAACTTAAATTTACAAATGATTGTAAGAATCACATTCTATTGCTTGATTTCGTTTACACCATCTAAAAAAAAAAAAAAAGCCAGAGATACTGGTGTGTTTTTAAACTTGAATGAAAGTGTTGACCTTTTCCTTATTCGCCATTTCAGAAAGTTTTGATGAATAAAAACATGGTTTAAAGATGGGCAAGACCAAGAAAAAAGAGGAAAGAAAATACAGTCTACGAGTATAACTAGGCAGCCCCAGAAAGAGATGAAAATGAATACAAGCTTCAGTATCTACAAATTTAAATTTAAAATGAGGTAAGTGGATTTATCTCTTACAGGCACTTCTCCGGACCCAACACAGTAAGTAGAAAGGGGAGGATTTTATTAAAAACGGGAGGTGGGTATTAAAAGGATTCAGAATGAAAGGTAAAAAGTCAATTTTTTTTGTTCTCAAAAACTTCTACCATCCTTCCAATCAAAATCCCTCAGCCAGGCGAGAGTTTTCTCTTCCCCTTGTTTATGTATTATTTTATGTGAGCAACAACTCTACAATTTCAGTGCCTCTGGAATCCATTAGGCATCCATAAAAATGAAAATAGCGTTGGTGCTCTGCAGAAACAAGCAAAACAGGAAACTTAATTTCTATTTTAATATAACAAACAGCAAATAGCCTTGACTGAAGAAAGATGTTTTCAGTCATCAATTGTCACATATCTTTGAAGAAATTCCCTGGGAGGAAAGAATGGCTTTTCCAAGTACAGTGAGAGCAGTCTTTCGACTTACAAGCTTTCTCTGCTCCTCAAAAAACTCCAGAAGTGCCTGGGATTAAACGGAAACTCCGTAAAACTTGGGGGGTGCTTTAGGGACAAAGCATTCTTCCCGCCTTCAAAATACAGTATTTACCTTCCCACTACCAAGGGACATTACCAAAAACTACTACACACACTACATCTAAGACACCCTCTCCACCAAACCAACTGAAAAAGTGCTTCATAACACACACACACACACACACACACACACACACGCGCTCCCCCAAGTTTCCAAAAACAGTGGCCCAAGTGTACTTGGGATCAAACACTGTGCGAGAAATGTCCAGGAGAACTACTGCTTATACATTACTCTTACCTTCACGATCACTCAGTTTTAAAATCGCACGTCCGGAACGTATCACATCCGAAGTGCTTTATCCCCTTACCACACTAAGAACGCAAAGACTGGCGGCAAATCGGAGCAACTTACTTACCATCGATCTGAATACCCAACCCCAAACCCTGCACCGTCTCCAAGGGGTAGAAGAACTGAGTACAAAGGCACTTGGTGGTTCCTTCTACCTCGGCACCTCTCTCCCTCCCACTGAGTCTCTGTAAATTCCAAAATACACCACGAAAATCTCCGCACAGAGCACTACCAGACCAGTCAGATGGAGAGTCGAGAAGTAATCGGTTTGTCCCTTCCAAGGGGGCCTTGGAAACCCGGACCCTAAAAGCCAAGAGGACTTGGGGGTGTGACCTGGGCTGCTCCCTCCCCTATACTCCCCTCACGGGACTCCCTTGTCGTCGCGGCTACTCACCAGACCAGAGAGCACAGAAAGAGGCAGGAGACCAGGGCCAAGGCCCGCTGGTGCTTCTTCATCTTCTCCTCCTTCTTCCCCCTGTCAGAAGGCGGCACATCCTCCCGGCAGCCGCCACTGCCGAGGCCAAGATGGAGGAGCCGGAGCAGGAGCGCGAGGATGGGACCGATAATCCTAAAGGCTGTGGCGCTGGCTGAGCGGCTCCTCAGTGGCTCGCGTCCTGGCAGCCCTCTCCGAGGGCCCCACAGCCGCGCGACAGGGGCGCTTCACAGGACTCCGGGGACCGCCGCTGCTGCGGCCGCCGGCTCGTCCACGCCCGCCTCCAGAAGCCGCCGCCGCCGCCACTGCCACCCCATATCCTCCCCGCCCGCCCGGGGCCTTGCTCCGTGAGACCAGCGACCAACGGCCGCCGCGTACTCGCCTCTCAACAGCCAATCGCCAGCGGGGCCGCGACACCTCACACACCGCTGAGCTGGAAAGCGACGCGTCACCCACGTCCCGCGGCGCCCACACCCCCACCAGCCTCTGCGTAGGCCACGCCCCCTCCGACGCCGCAGGCGGAGAAGCCGGAGGCAGGAGACCACAAAACGCAGGAGCAGAAGCTGTCGCTGCTCCGCCCGCCCCAGGTCCCGCCCCCTTGCGGGCTAGCGTTCAAAAGAGCCCCGTGATCGTTCGCATTCCCCCTTACAGTGGCCCGCCCCTCGTCCCGTGCGCGCCGAGTCCGCGCAAGCGCCCTTGGGAGTTGTAGTTTGCCTTCCAGAATCCGTTTTCTTCTTTCCCTGTCCCTCCTAGAATCCATGGTTTTATTGCGGAAGTCTGTAGTTTCGCTGCTCACCACGAGACTGATCAGCTTTGGAAGTGTTGCACTCTTTTCCTCTTTCAGTTCGTGGGATGGCCTAGAATGACGGGGTTGAGGGTTGTGAGGGAAGCTGTACTAATAAAATTTAAAGACCCTTTCCCTGTATCAATGGACTGCCCCATCGAGCTAGATGTTGATTGGTAGATAGAAAGGGGCGAGCCAAGAATCTCTCATCTGATTGGTTGTAGCGGAAAACCTTTCGCTTTTTCTTTCCTTCAGCAAGAATTTCGCCGCTTGCCGGGTTCCTCACTTGTAGTGTGTTTCGTTGGTTTTCGTTCTGTTGCTTTCGAACTTTGGGTTCTCTGCGATGGAGTCGGAAGGGAGGAGTTGTCTCCGTTAGAGGAGCACCCACAGACGCTCCAAGTCCTGAGGTTCACCGAAAGTGGGGAAGGCAGTCGCTTACACTCACCTAAGAGCAAGAAGTGACCACTTCTCAATACTAAGTAAGGGGCAGCATGCCCATTCCAAGTCTTTACGCCGCTGAGGGGACGGAGGCTGCAATGGTCTGTGCCTTGGAACATGGCATAATGTTTAGTGTGAAAAATGTTTAAAGGAGGTGTTACTTATTGTTCATGTGGCCGTAGGGAAAAACCCCTCAGTAAAATGCCCACCTAACGCCTAATTTTGAGCCGCGGAATTTCCTTATGAACCTTCTATGTTGAATTGTATGTTAATTGTAGTCCCAAAGAACTGAATGATTTCACCCACTCTGTAATTCTTGGATATAAGTCAATTTGATGTTAGAGAAATTACGCAAAGAGTGATAATTTTGGTTTTAAAGGTGTTCACCCTGAACTGCCTTTTCTGGCAGTAATTAGGTAACAGTTCCACTTATCTGCTGATGCTACTCTTAATATATGACAATAAAATCCTTTCATCTCTCACCTATTGCGGGAAGCAAATATTTATCTCACCTAAAAACAGTATCAAATGATTAATATGCAACTTTAAAAGAAAGTAGGGGCAATGGAAGGGTAGGGATAAATTGACATTCTTTACCATGTTGGACACCCTTTTCCTCTTATTCCAGGAACTTTTATTCAGGATAGGAAACAGCTGAGGTATCCCTCAGCTGATCCTCAGTACATCACAGCCAAAGAAGTTATATTAGAATACATGCTTGTCTCAAATCTAGGAAGTTATCAAGCTACGTCTGTCCCTCTCATCCCAAACTCACAGACCCATCCACTTATTTTCCACCAAGTCCCTGCAATGATTTTTTGGAATATGCAAGTACAAAGAATTTTACTTTTTTCTTTCTCTTTCTTTCCTTCCTTGACTGCCTGCCTGCCTGCCTTTTTCTCTGGCAGTTGGAGCTTTATTAATACCCCCGTGGTAGGCTTCCCATTCACCTAATTATCATCCAATTATTAGCTTTTACTATTTCAATCTATAAATGTTCTTTTCTCTTTTTGAATTTCATTTCCATGGTTTCATGTTAAGGCTTAATCCTTCAGTACTCTGAGCTTTTTCCATTTTTCTCTTGGGCAAGTTTAATTTTCAACTATACTGTTGACTCCCAAACCTATTTCCCAACCTCTTCTCAAGTAGTTGCTGGACATATTATTTAGATATTCTATCACTTCCAATTTTATCTGCACAAAATAGAACTCATTTTTCCCATAAATTAGCTTCTTTGCCTGACTTTCTATATTTATGTTGATTCTTTCCTATTCTAAGACTCCAGATGAAATAAATAGAAATTCCATAGAGCTGACCTTTAAAGAACTGGTAGACATTTTTCCACCTATCTGTTAAATATAATGAGAAAAAGAGGAGAGAAAATTTATAACTCAATAGACAAGTATAAGAAAGTGAGTAATAGTTTATAAAATAAAACTAGTATAGATAAATGTCACCATACTTAAAAAGTATAACATATGCCAAAAATGGCAAGAAAGAATATAGAAAAGGTCAAAGCATGTATAATATATAATCTTTAATATATAATATTTAATTATATAATATATATAATCTTTTAAGACTTAGGCTAATTAACCACCATCAACTACCCATTAACTATAATACAGTAATTCTCAACCTGGGGCAGACTTCCCCCCAGGGTGAAATTGGCATTGTGTGAACACATTTTTTGCTTGTCACATTGGAGAAGTACTACTGGCACCTAATGAGTGGAGGCCAGGGATGCTCTTTCACATCCTACAGTGCACAAGAAAGCCCTCCACAACAAAAATTATTTGGCCCAAAAAGTCAAAAGTGCCAAGGTTGAGAAACCCTGCTATAACCGAATCTCCCAATTCAATAAAATCTATAAAGCACTGACCACACACAGGATAACTTGTTTGCCCTGCAGATCCTTGGATTATTCAGCAAGTCACTAGGGCCTAAACTGCACAATTAACATGAGTTCTCCCATTCCTGAAAAGCTGACTAAACCAGAAACTCTAGGCAGCTCAAGTCCTTGCCTTGATAAAGATCTGATACTCTGTTTGCTTATGGTGAAAGAGAACAAGCAGACCTTAAAAAAGGAACCAACCCCTTCTGGCTATCTCGTTTGTTCTTTATCTCATATACAAATCATATTTAAGATACCCAAGAGAACTGTTTGTCTAAGTTGGTGGTATTTCATGAGCAAGCTTTTACGTATTTTGATTTAGTTGAAAAATTACCTGCTCCTTTCAATATTATAAAATGCTGAGATCCTATATGTCTCAGAAGGATCTTAGAGACCAATGACATTTAGATGCTTCCAGAGTAAAAGTCAGTTAAAACAGATGTTTCCTGGAAATCAGTCAAAGAAAGGTTGGGAGATTGAGAACACACAAATAGACAATAAAAGAGACTAAGATGGAAAATGGAAAAATGGTGAATGTAGCAATCAGCACTTAACAATTCAACCACATAAAAAGTATAAACAATACTTTTAAAACTGTTTGTCCCCCCAATCATCTTCTTTATGTACATAAATATGTGTGTAGAATAGCATATACTTTATTTAGTTACTCCCTACCTGAAAAGAGCCTTAACTACTTAGCCAAATCTACCTTAACAGAGCACTGATAATTTGGCCACTTCGGGAGTTAAGGGTAGAAATCAGAAGGAGATAAGACATAGATTACTTCATTAGTACAGCCTGAGAACTCAGTCTCTTGAGGGCTGGAAGATCACAGAGTGCAAGGTTGGCATGCACGGTTCTGTTTTTACTGCAAATAACAAAAGGTAAGATTTCCCTTTTTAAAAATTCTACTTTGTGATCCCAAATTCAGTCTTCTATCACTGGGTTAACATATGTGTATTTTGAAGATACATGAATTGTAAATAGGCTCATAATGGAATCAACTAGAAGAAGGGAATGATTTACATGTGGGTGACAGAGAAGGAGACATCAAAGATGGTCCAATTTCTAAGAACGTATGTGCCATTACATTAGTAGGAAAGTCAGGAGTTGCAGATTTACAAGTTAAGAAGACTAGTACGGTTTTGGAAGCACAGTATTGAGGTTCTGGTGGAAGTATCTAGCAAGAATTTACAAGTACAAGATTCAAAATAGGGAGAGAAAGTAACAACTGAAGCAGCATGTTGGGGATTGTAACTGATGTGTCCTTTAGCACCTCCTGTATAACGCTCTCAGAAGAAGCTTCCTAAAACATTATCTTCATCATGTCCATTCTTTGGTGCAAAAATATCCTATAGGTCTGACATATTTGTCAAATAAAGTCCTGCCTCCTTGGCCTGGCATTCAAAACTTTCCATAATCAAACCCAGTTGATGTAGTTCAAGCTTTATTTCCCACTATTTTCTTTCATAACTCAACCTTCTGACCAGACTACACTGTTTGTTATGACCTGAAACACTGGTGCCTGCCCTTATTACACTGTTTTTATTTAATAGTCATTTGTCTCCCCAAGCAGTGAATAAATTCCTTATTGCAGAGAGGTCATGTGTTTTATTGATATATATCACACAGTGACGTTTTTTTATTACAGAGGCCCAAGAAATAATTTTTTACTTTTCACTCAACTATTTATTTGTCTAATCACCTTGAATTACAATTTGCCCTATAATTTAAACTCCTAGGAGTAGCAAGCCCTTAGGATGAGAACGTTTTATGCGATTGACTAGCCTAGAGCACCTAGTCAACTACTTCTTTCTCGATAAATTATCAGATTAGCTTTTCAGCATAACGTTATTTGACTTATGTCTGACTAGATTTTCCTAGGTTCTAGTTACCCTAAGTAACCTGGAGAAATAAAGTGTTCAATAAATATTTATTGAGCCTTTTTTGTATTAAAGATGCTGAGACAGATATTTGCTCCAGGAAAGCTTTAGTGTTCTAGCAGGGAGTCTTGATCTTCTGAACAGCACTCTTTTGGTAGTCTGGTGAAGCCCTTGAAACCCTTCTCAGAATGTTTATAAAGGTATAAAATAAAACATAGATTACAAAGGAAACCAACTGTAGGGAAATACAGTTATTAATACAGTTATTGCGAAGCAAATTTGTGATCTAATAAGGTGGGCTTTTTCATTAATGCATAAATAACAAGGTCTAACAGCAGGTCTCCTAATGTCAATAATTCCAAAATGGTGATAAGTATAAGAGATATTCCAAGATACCTACAATATGCATAATGTGATATGAAAATATCTGTGATTAATGTTGGTGACAAAGTTGTAGATACAGCCAGTACTACCACAGTTTGTTACCTACATTCACAATAAAATCAAATTCTAAATTTCAGTAGAGGTTAGGAGAATAGAGATATAATTATTATTCCATCCATGGACCTGTGAATTATATACATGGATCCCAACTAAGAAGTCCTGCAAAAGAGCAATGTTTTTTAAACTGTGGGGTCACAATTCATTAGAGAGTCAAGAAATAAATCTTGAGGGAATCCAGCAGCACTTTTTAAAAAATAAAATACAATAATTTAGAAAATATCAGAGTGTGTCTCAGCAAGAGGAAATATTTTTGTGGGGCACTCTTATTTCAGTAATATATGTGATGTGTGTATACGTGTGTGTGTGTGTACAGTTATATACATACATACATACTAGGTTGCAATATAAAATATATGTCTGCGTTTTTTTGTTTGTTTTTTTGTTTTGTTTGTTTTTTTGTTTTGTTTTGAGACAGATTCTTGCTCTGTCATGCAGGCTGGATGGAGTGCAGCGGCACGATCTCGGCTCACTGCAACCTCTGCCTCTCAGGTTCAAGTGATTCTCCTGCCTCAGCCTCCAGAGTAGCTGGGATTACAGGTGCACATCACCACACCTGGCTAATTTTTGTATTTTTAGTAGAGATGGGGTTTTGCCATGTTGGCCAGGCTGGTCTTAAACTGACCTCAAGTGATCTGCCAGCCTCCACCTCCCAAAGTGCTGGGATTGCAGGAGTGAGCCACTGAGCCCTGCCAAATAGATGTCTTAAAGTGAGTTGCAGTCAAAATAATGTGAAAGCCACTGCACTAGAGGAAATGAAATA